TGAAAGAAATCATGGTCCACTTCCAGGTTCGTGGGATCTGGTTCTTCCTCCTGGGTGAGAGAGGTGAGGGCAAAACTTCTATTGTCTGGGATTTAAGGGCAAAACCCCAGCCCTCCCTAATCCCTTTAACCAATCTAAGGGGGAGGGAGAGAGAACTTGGGAGAGGGAAGAAGAGGGAGAGAGGACTGCAGTATGGCAGGGAGGAAAAAAAGATAACTGCATGTGTATGGCAGGGAGGGTGGTAGCAACAAATTCTAATCTGGGGAGCTACAGCACCAACACCACACAGAACCCCCACCCCCCAAACTGGCTTACCTCAGTGGGACTCCGGCCACCTAGGTAGTTGCAGCCTAATCCTTCCCGCCGGAAATAGACTCTACTGACATCTGCAACCAGGGGAGTCTCTAGACCTGGTCCCTGCGGGCAGTGCCATACGTACACATACCTGCCATGACCAAGGGAGTGAGGACATTACAAGAACAGCATGGCAGCCTGACCCCTTCCATGACTCTCCATCTTCTCGAATTTCTATATGCTTTCTCTCTCACCAACTTCCTCAGCTGCCCGGAGGGAAGCTACCTTTTCCTTGGCTCCACAGGTAGCTTGATGCCCTGCAGGGTGCCAGGTGGCCCCATCCCAATACCAGCCAACTCAGCAACCTGCCCAGACCAGGCCCCAGCAGCGTTGATCACTATGGCACATTCCACTGGCTGGTACTCCAGGCTGTTGTCCATCTTCACCTGCAGACACCCGAGGGTGAAGGGAGGGAGGGCCTGGACCACATACAGGCACTAGGAGAGATACTCAGTATCCTGGGTCTTACTTTGCCCATATGGAAAATGGACAGAGGACCGACATCAGGACAAACTACCTTTCTTGTCCCTCTATTGTGGAGAGGAGGAGCACAATGAGACGAGGGACTTACATGGACTTCATAGATCCTTTTCAAGTTGACCTTTTCTCCACTTGAGGTCTCCATGGAGGTAGATGAAGTGACAAAACCTGCAGGGAAAAAAAGAAAGGAAAAAAAAAGCCCTTAGGGGCTGAGAGAGAGAGCTCATGTATTTGGCATGCACACAGCCCCAGGTTCAATCTCACTCAACATCCTGCCCCATTCTCCCCACAAAAGTAAAGCCTTCGAGGCCTTGCAGAAGGAAGTGAGGATCCCACAGGTCTAGGAAAGAAGGCTAAGGGTAAGCATTTCCCCACCGGCACTGAAGTGAACAGAAGTTAGGGAACCAGGAGGAACTTGGCTATATAGAAAAGACAGGGTAATGCTGAACAACTGAACAAGTCACAAAGCAGACTAGTGTGGAGTAGTTAGGCTGGCCCTATCTCTTGCCAATCCTTCTTAGGCTGCGAGTGAGAAGATGGTACCCGGTCGAAACCTCGCACTGGTTGCTAGAAACAGAAGGTAAGGTGCCTTGGACTCACGTGTCACCTCTCCCTGGGAGAAAAGGACTCCCATTGACTGGAGCTTTAGCCGAAATGCTTGGAGCAGCGACCAGGGGTCAAACCAACCTTCACCCTCCATCCCTGAGATGAAGAAAACAGAATTAATTCACAAAGAAGGACTAAGATCCCATTCTTCTTAGTATATTCCCTGACCCTCCATTAACATTTTTCTAGGGCTTGGAAGCCAGGGAAGGTCATTAGAATCCAATCCTGGTGAAGGAACGAGAAGTAGTATGGCCAGAGGCCAGTCCTGGTACCCAGGAGGAAAGTGGTCCTCCTTTATTGTGGCCATGGCATGCTGAGACATCACTATCTTTAGAAGGCTGTCCCTTCTCTCTGCAGATGAACCTTACCATAAGAAGCCAGAGCCACTCCCTCTGTGTTTATCCAGGGAAACTTGGTCCGAAGATGTTCGGGAGACATCAGACAAACTTTGGCCCCTTCCTGCCTGAGAGAAATATGTGCATGTGCATACAGTATTAAGAGAGGCTGTGTGCAGAGGAGAGAAGCATGAATGCTAGTTTCAGGGGGAAGTGCAGGCCCTGATAGCACTTCTTGTCTTAAACCTCCTGTTTTTTCTTCATTGGTGAATGTGCAAAGACTGAACCTTCCAGTGAAGGTTCTTTAGCATCTGAAGCCTCTTCCCCAACCTACAACCTGGTCTCCTTCAGTACTCTCAGTTTTCACCCTATCTCCTTCCACAGACAGATAGGAAACTTGCTACCCCTTACTCCACTGCTCATTACAATCTTGTTCTCCAGAATGACTGTCTCCTCTAGGACAGTGTCACTCAAAGGGGGGCCCTGTAAAAACAAAACAGATGCTGGTGGCTCACACCTATAATCCTAGCTACTCCAATTAACCAGCAAAAAACTGGAAGTGAAGATATAGCTCAAGTAGTAGAGCACTAAGGCTGAGTGAAAAAAAGCCAAGTGAGAACATGAGGCCCTGAGTTCAAGCCCCAGTACTGGCACAAAACAAAACCCTACCACTTTATTTTTTGGTTGGTCGTGGGACTTGAACTCTGGGCCTGGGCTGCTGTCTCTGAACTCTTCAGCTCAAGGCTAGTGCTCTACCATTTGAGCCACAGCGCCACTTCCTGTGTTTCTGGTGGTTTATTGGAGATGAGAGTTTCACGGACTTACCTGCCTGGGCTAGCTTTGAACTATGATCCTCAGATCTCAGCCTCCTGAGTAGCTTAGGATTACAGGTGTGAGTCACTGAAATCAGGCCTTAATCCTACCACTTTCATGAGCCAGAAGGACTGGCTGGTACAGATTCCCAGTGCTAACACTGACTAGGTCCTTGTGCCTCATTTCTCTACTACCACCTCCATATGAAATAGACATGTCCCAATGATTGAGTTGTATGTTAACTCCTGACTCTTTCCTAATAGACTAAGCTCCTAGACAAGAGGCATCTGTGACATCAACCCCGGCTTCCCTGTTCCTAATTTGGAAATGTGAATCTGAAAAGGTGAAACCAGCTTATGGTGGATACCCACCTCTGCACTTTCACGTTGTTCTCCAGAACTGCAGCATCCTTGTCTGAAGCCAGCAAAAGGTAACCTGAGGGGTTGAACTGGAGGTCCACAGGAGGAGCATCCACGACAGCCAGGTACTCCTGTTTACAAATAAAAGCTGTACTCTAAAAAGGCTAACTTAGCGAATTGGAGAGCTTTCCTGGACTCCTCACTATGGCTCCCAGAATTCAGTGCTACAGACCAGACAGGAGCCCTACTAGGAACCAACTCTAGGGAGAAAAGTGAGGGTTCTAATTCTAGCTACTGGAGCCATTCCTCCTTCTTTCAGCCCTTTGTGTAATAAACTACTCCTCTTTCTAAGCTAAGAAAAGGGTCACAATCCCCAGCCCCCCCAAATCTCACTGGACATACATTGATGTTCCGTAGAAAGTTGGCTGAAAACAGGGAGAGCTGGATGTTCTCAGGCAAGGAGAACTGCTGACGAATTCCGCCCACAGAAAGCACCGTGGAGGCCTTTGAATACTGTAGAAACACAAGAAAAATTGAGGTAGGCAAGTATGCTTGCTGTCATATGTAATAGACTTATGAAAAATTTAGCTGAAGTCAGGTGTGCAAATTTATAATCTAAGGAACAGGGGTGAACAAACCTGTATTCAAGTCAACCAGAAGCACTAGAATAAAATGTTTTATTATTGATAAATGAGTAGGGCAAAGAGTGTCAATCATTTATAAAGGGCTGGCCACCTTGGAACAAAATGATAATAAATCCAAGGGCAGATTAGAAAATGAAAAGACAAGACCAAAGTACCAAAGGCCAGCAGCTAGCTGATAAAAAGCAAATAGAAAAAAACCAAAGTACAAAAATTTCAAAAGTATGGGGCTGGGAAGGTGGCTCAGTGGTAGAGTGCTTGCCTCGCATGAAAAGAAGCCCTGGGTTCGATTCCTCAGCACCACATAAACAGAAAAAGCTGGAAGTGGCACTGTGCCTCAAGTAGTACAGGTCTAGCCTTGAGCTGAAGTGCTGAGGGACAGCACCCAGGCTCAGAGTTCAAGCCCCACGACCGACAAAAAACAAAACAAAAACTTCAAAAAGAATGGAAGACTAAGGTCTTCCCTTTCCTCCACTTCCATTGCTCCTAGAGTCCTTAATAAAATGATATATCTTTATTGCACCAATCATGACTTTGCTCGCTCCCAGATCTCACCGTGCTATCTCGTTCCACCACTAGCACCCGGATGGCATCTCGTTTCTTCTCTAGCTTCTTCAGCCAATAGGCCACAGACAGGCCAATCACCCCACCTCCAACAACCACCACATCCGCGTGTTCTGGAGGCAGATGGCTGGTGTCATACAGTGGATCCCAGGTGTCACCAGGCAGGGCTGACTGGATCTTCTTCTTTATCTCAGCTACTTTTCCATCCCAGTCTGTGGAGGCGCAGTTATCATTAGGACATGTATTTCCTTCCCACATGGTAGGGAGTTGGTTGGATGGGCAGTTCCCAGTCATTCCTGTCTCACAAGGTCAACTCACACCCAGAGTAAGCAGGGGTCTCCTTGGGATCCATACACTGGCCCAGGTTCAACAAAGTCTCGAAGGGACGCTTTCTCCCTCCGCGCAGCCAACCCATTCTAAGCCCTACAAGCCAAACAACTGGAGGCTGTAGACGACCCAGAACCCTACCCAAAACTGCCCTCAGCTTTACCCAGAGTTGAGCCTCCTCTGCGTGTGCCTAGCCGCCGGAATGAGAGGCCTGGGCGCAGGCCCAGCTGCAGAGCCCTCCGAAACATCAGCTTTTCGCACCCCGGGACTCTGCTACAACCTTCGTTATCACCTTTCCGCGCCACGGGGGTATTCGGACGAGCCCACCCATTGGTCAACAGTCACCCCCAGATTCCTCCCCCCTTCATACTATTGGTAGTTAAGTCCCCAGGACGTCTCCGCCCAGAAACGCCCCCATCCGTGATTGGTCTCCTGGTCGTGTACGTCATTCTTGCGCGTCCCCGGTGCACAGGGAGCGGTGAGGGAACCCGGCGGCTAGGAGCGGAAGTGCGGCTGCGCCGGTTTCCGGGGCCGCCGGTGTGACGTGTCTCGAGCTTGGCGCAGCAGGAAGCGGCGGCGATCGCGGCTCCAGTCCCCGGCGGCGCCAGCCCCAGCTCCTCTCCCGCTGCCGCCATGCTCGACTTCTTCACCATCTTCTCCAAGGGCGGACTCGTGCTCTGGTGCTTCCAGGGCGTGAGCGACTCATGCACCGGGCCCGTTAACGCGTTGATTCGTTCCGTGCTGCTGCAGGTACCACCCCCGCGGGATCAGAACTCCGAGCTTTTTTTTTTTTTTTTCCTCCCCCTACCCGGGCCATGGTCCTCCTTCGACTAATCACCCTGCTGCCCCTTTCAGTGATAATCGACTTTCTTCCTCCCTCATCAGACAGTCCCGCAACTTTGCGTCGCCTCCTCCCTCGCCCCCTCACCCCCACTTGGCATCTTGGGAGTCCAGTCGGATTTCGGCGTCTGTGGGGACTTTTTCCTCCTCTCCCCAGCCCCAGCTTGATTTTTTTGGGTTGTTGTTTCGAGGCCGAGATGGTTGGAAAGACCCCTTGAAGAAACTAAATAGTATCCAGATGCTAGTAGATCCGATATGTATGTACTGATTTGTTGCCCTTCCAGTTCCCACGGTGTCTTGACTTTCAACTTTTCCCCTTTCCCTCATTTGTGTAGTCATTCTTTCTCGCTGGTGGAAGTCTAGAGAGAAATGCCCTAGCATCTTCTTGTAGGGAGTGTTCAGTACTTTCCCAAAGGTAATTATCCTTGAATGGCTCATGTCTGGGACATTTGGGAATGACCTGAACACTGAGACAGATTTTTTTTTTTTCAGGAACGAGGAGGTAATAACTCCTTTACTCATGAGGCCCTCACACTCAAGTATAAATTGGACAATCAGTTTGAGCTGGTGTTTGTGGTAAGTAGGGGTTAGAAGGACAGTGATCTAGAACGAATGATTAAAAATGCTGGTAATTGCACTACATATGTGAAGAGGCTGAGAATGCTAGGAAGGTGGTGTGGGCAAAGGAAGAACTTCTGAGCCAGGCAGAGAGCTTGGCTGCCTTTTGAGACAGGGAAACCTGCCAGGTGGCTGAGCCTATCTCTGGAGGACTAAGTTGAGTTGGCTTTCCTCCATTGTAGGCTGACATGTAAGCAGATCTGTTGGCTCTGTTTCCTTCTCTAAACAGGTTGGTTTTCAGAAGATCCTAACACTGACATATGTAGACAAGTTGATAGATGATGTGCACAGGCTGTTTCGGGACAAGTACCGCACAGAGATTCAACAACAAAGTGCCTTAAGTCTATTGAATGGCACTTTTGATTTTCAAAATGACTTCCTGCGACTCCTTCGGTGAGAGACCTTCCCTCTACAAAATTGATTTCCATGATTTGATGAACTCTCTTCCTGAGAGCTCCCTTCCTGAAGGTGGTTCAAGAGTAGTAAAGTGAGCCAGTTGTTGGTGGCTCATGCCTGTTGTAACCCCAGCTACTCAGGAGGCTGAGGTCTGAGGATCTGAGGATCACAGCCAGCCAGGGTAGTAAAGTCCATGATAACTCTTTATCTTCAATTAACCACCAAAAAGCTGGAAGTGGAGTTATTGCTCAAGTGGTAGAGTGATAGACACTCAGGCCCTGAGTTCAAAACCCAGCACTTGCCAAAAAAAAAAAACGGTGAAAAATAGTAAAGCCACTTCTTATTTGCTGCCCAGTTCTGATTGTCCTTTTGGTATATGGGACCTTTCTTCTTGCATGGTAGCAAACTATTTTTTGTCTTTAGTGAAGCGGAGGAGAGCAGTAAGATCCGTGCTCCTACTACCATGAAGAAATTTGAAGACTCTGAAAAGGCCAAGAAACCTGTGAGATCTATGATTGAAACACGGGGAGAAAAGCCCAAAGAAAAAGCAAAGAACAGCAAAAAAAAGGGGTCCAAAAAGGAAGGTGTGTTAGAACTACTTGGACGTGCTGGGGCATAAAAGGTGTTAACATAGCATTAAGGACTTCCTTCTCTTTGACCCTGCTGCTCACCACTTTATCATCCCCAGGACTTGTGATCCCCAAGATGTTTGACCCATGTTTTCTTCTGAAATTGGAGAAGTGTAGCCATTGTCTAGTTGGTTGGGATTTGGTCTTTTTTTCCTTCAGTGAGATTTCTCCTAACAGGTTCTGATGGTCCTTTGGCTACCAGCAAAGCAGCTCCTGCAGAAAAGTCAGGTCTCCCAGTGGGGCCTGAGAATGGAGAACTTTCCAAAGAGGAGCTGATCCGCAGGAAGAGGGAAGAGTTCATTCAGAAGCATGGGAGGGGTCTTGACAAATCCAGGTGAGCATTCTAGCTTTCACTAGTTTTAGGGCTCAGGGAGCTGTTTCTGACTTACTTTCTTTTTGATTTCTCCATTATAACTCTCTGTCCTGTGGTGCATTTTAGCAAGTCCACGAAGTCAGATGCTCCAAAGGAAAAGGGCAAAAAAGCACCCCGAGTGTGGGAACTTTGTGGTAGTGCTAACAAGGAAGTCTTGGATTATAGTACTCCTACCACCAATGGAACCCCAGAGGCTGCTCTGTCTGAGGATATCAACTTGGTAAGAGCCAACAAGGGACAAAGGGAAGGTCACTGGTAATTGGAAATTGGGAAAAGTAGAGACTTAGAAGTATAACAACCTAGATTTCTTCAAGGCCTTTTACTCAGAGCCAGTAATGTTCCTATAGCCATCTCTCCCACTTGTCCTACAGATTCGAGGGACTGGGCCTGGCGGGCAGCTTCAGGATCTGGATTGCAGCAGCTCGGATGATGAAGGGGCCGCCCCAAACTCCACCAAACCTAGGTATAGGGCTTTCCAGAAGTGGTGTCTGGCTGCAGAATTCCTAACTCCTGTCTGCTGACTTTATGTGTATTTGTGGTCTTCTGTGCCTGCAGTTCTACCAAGGGGACTCTGGGTGGCATGTTTGGGATGCTGAAGGGCCTTGTGGGTTCTAAGAGCTTGAGTCGTGAAGACATGGAATCTGTGCTGGACAAGATGCGTGATCATCTCATTGGTAAGTTCTGATGACTGGGCTCTCGTATTGGTATGGGAAGCAGGACCTTGTTTCTTAGCTGTATGGTAAGAATCAGTTGCTTTGACTTAGAACTCATACTTGTTCCTTGCTTGTCAGCTAAGAATGTGGCTGCAGATATTGCTGTCCAGCTCTGTGATTCTGTTGCCAACAAGCTGGAAGGGAAGGTGATGGGGACATTCAGCAGTAAGTATCTCCATCAGCCAAAATGTGCTTATGTGTAAAGAGGTCACTCATAGAGACCATCATTCTTTTTGGTCACATGACTTGGCTGATCCCTTTATTTCTACACCTCTATTATATAACCAAGATTTTAGGGGTTATTAGGCAGATGAATTAATATTTTAAAAAGTACTTAGAAGTGGAGCTAGAATAAATCATGTTAAGTGAGGTAAGCCAAGGCCAGAGAGACAAACGGCTCATGTTTCCTCTCATATGCAAAAACTAGGTTTAATATACACTTGGAACATGGTAAATTATATAGAACTCTGGGCGTTCACACAGTGAGACCAAAGGAGGATATTCTTAGGAGAGGAACACAAAGGCTCAATACCTATAATATGCCTTTGATTATAAAAATACATTTATCAAAATGGAACTCCAGGAAATGGAAACAAGGTTTTTTCCTAGTTGCTGTTTTCATTGTTTTTGTCATTTGTTTATCTGTCTTTTGGAGGACTGGGTGGGGGGTGGCACAGAAATGGAGGGACAAAGGATAAATACAGCAGTAGTACTCACTAGATACTGTGTTGAAAATGAACTATACAACTTGTGGGTGGAGACAGGAGGGAAAATCTGGAGGGGAGGGGGGCAGGGAAGGGGTGACAAAGAAATGTATTCTTTACCTGACTTATGTAACTGTAAACCCTTTGTACATCAGCTTTGTAATAACAAAATAAAGTGCTTAGAACAGTAGGGTTTGGATTCTTAGTTGTAGTTCCCTTAGTCTGAAAGGTGTGGAGGATTTTGAGCACATTCCTAGGCTTCATGGCTGTGTTCATTTCACCTCCCTTTGCAGCGGTGACGTCCACAGTCAAGCAAGCTCTACAGGAGTCCCTGGTGCAGATCTTGCAGCCACAGCGTCGGGTAGACATGCTCCGGGATATCATGGATGCCCAGCGTCGCCGGCGCCCTTATGTTGTCACCTTCTGTGGTGTGAACGGAGTAGGGAAGTCTACTAATCTTGCCAAGGTCAGTGCCGTTTCCGACCTGCCACTGGTATGCCTTCACTCTCCATGTCTCACGAGCCCTGGTTCCAGTCATTGTTTTTCCTTAACTCTTTCAGATTTCCTTCTGGCTGTTAGAGAATGGCTTCAGTGTCCTCATTGCTGCCTGTGATACATTTCGTGCTGGGGCTGTGGAGCAGCTCCGTACCCACACCCGGCGTCTGACTGCCCTGCACCCCCCAGAGAAGCATGGTGGCCGCACCATGGTGCAGTTGTTTGAAAAGGGCTATGGCAAGGACGCTGCTGGCATCGCCATGGAAGCCATTGCCTTTGGTACAGTCCCTGGGCAGTGTGGAGGCTTGTGGGCCTTTTGCCTCCTTGGAATTTGCAGAGGATCAGACTTGGACTACTAAAGTCAGAATTAGTTACTTGTCATGTTCTGCTTCCATGTGGTTTGTATAGTTACAAGCAAATATATCCTAACCAGAGATAGGAATTGAGTCACCTTTATCCTACTTCTGTGCTTTCCCTAAATGTTTTTGGTGGTGGCCAAGAATAGGGCAGGTTTTTCCTCATATTACCTTGTAACTGAATCCAGAGACTAAGTAGTAAACAGACGGGCTTTTCACTTAGCCAGATGGAGATTTCTTCAGAGGCTGGCAGTGAGCATCAGGGACAGTTGGGTATTTTGGGATTGACTTTTTTCTTTCCTCTTTAGCACGTAACCAAGGCTTTGACGTGGTGCTGGTGGACACAGCTGGTCGCATGCAAGACAATGCCCCCCTGATGACTGCCCTGGCAAAACTCATTACCGTCAATACACCTGACTTGGTGCTGTTTGTGGGGGAGGCCTTAGTTGGCAATGAAGCTGTGGACCAGCTGGTGAGGGCTCAGGCCTAGTTCCTCTGACAACATAAACTCTGGCAAATTAGTAGTCCTGTACTTACATGATCTTTTTTTCCCTCTCAGGTCAAGTTCAACAGAGCACTGGCTGACCATTCCATGGCTCAAACTCCTCGGCTCATTGATGGCATTGTACTTACCAAATTTGACACCATTGATGACAAGGTAAATGTGGATGGTGCCGGACAGCGAGACTGAAGGATGGGCTTTGAGGCCTTGGGGATAGGTGGTCTCTACAATTCGCTGTTAGGGAGATGGGATCTACAAGGAGGCTTCAACTGATTGGTTATCCCCTTTCTCCACTTCAGGTGGGAGCTGCTATTTCTATGACTTACATCACAAGCAAACCCATCGTCTTTGTGGGCACTGGCCAGACCTACTGTGACCTACGCAGTCTTAATGCCAAGGCTGTGGTGGCTGCCCTCATGAAGGCTTAATGTGGCTCTTGCCTAATACCAAATCGCCGCTTCCCCCAAGTCCTTGTTCCCGTATCAAGAATGTGCTTTAGAGTATGTGAGCAACTTGTCTTCAGTGTAGTACTACGGCAGAGTAATGGGAGCTGCAGGGCTTTAAAGCTCCTCCCACTCCCTGTTGAGTCCAGCCTCCACCTGCACGGAGGGCCTAATCATGTTACAGTTACTGCCCACTCACCCTACTCCTGCTCAGGCGCTCCCTTCACTCTGCCTTCAGACTCAGTCTCATTATAGCTTTGACCAATGTTCAGAAGACCCAGTACCCAGAGCTTTGCTAATTACAGTGGCCAGAGAGCATCTGAACTAAGGAGCAGTTTGAAGTCCCAGCTACATTAGGTTAAAAGACTCTTCCAGAGCCAGCTCTGGGTGTTGAGTGGCACCTTTCCCTAGGGTACACATCATTCAGGTCACTGGTGCCAAGATGATGCCCACCTCACTGTGCCAGTGTGGCCTGTTCTTAATTGCTGCTAATTCAAAATCCAACGATGCCCCTACCCTATTGTTTCCTAGAGCATCAGCTAGGCCCAAGTTTGTTACATGTAAGTGAAAGGCAAGTCCCTGCTTCCCTTGGAAACAACGGGAACCAAGCTGCAATTGCATCGGGCTTAGCCTTCCCACTCTTCCCCCTCCCAGGACCCAGATGTAAGCTTTGCATGTTCCCCTTCCTGGGAGAAAGCTAACTGTCAGAAGGGCAGCCATTGTCCACCTCCCTGCCCCACCCTTTGCCTCCTGAGTGGGTCCTGGCTTTTCCTCAGCCCTCTCTCCTACAGTGCCTGGTAGACAAGTGCTACCTGGTAGACAAGTGCTATGTTGAAGAATACAAACCTCTTGTCCTGTAGCTTGGTATTACAGATGTGCTATTAGTGCAATAAGGTGAAGGCTGTCTGCCCAGAGAAATACATAATTTATATGAGAAAATAAATTTCATAAGTAAACTGCCTCCAAGGTCTTGGAAGTTATTTTATACAGGACTCAGCTAAAATCTAAGTCACACCAGCCATATAGTTCTGGGGCTTATTTGTAGTAAAAAGAGCACCAAAGCAGAAACTGAAGAATGCTTTGAAGAGGGCATTGACTGTCATGCGAATGAGAACATCCCACCTCAAGGTTTAACACACAACTTACCAAATTTGAGTTATTAAAAAAATTAAGCTTCTTAATACCTTGATACAAGTTAGGAGTTTTGTTTTTGTTTTGTTTTTCTACAGTGACTCTCAAAGTAGAGCCAGGGCCCTGGCAAGTAAATGAACAAGCTTTTAATACAGCTCAGTTATGTAAAATACTGTACACTGTAAAAGATCTAGAAAACTAGAACTTCAAGTCATGTTTTAAAAAAGCCATTAAGCTTAATGAAAAACCGAGTACAAAACTGCAACAAGAGACTGCTTGACGCCATGACTTCCAGCTCCCCAAGTCCTTCCTGCAGAGCTGCAGTGTAGCCTGGAGGCATCACATTGGTCTGTGGTATACACACGCATGTCCAGCCTGGGGGTGAGTGGGAACTGCATTGGGTCTTGATGTCACGTATGTATTCTTGAATTGAACCAGGCAGCAGAGAACCAGCTGGCATGATGTTAAAGGTGAAACCCTTCCCCCCCATCCTACCCCCAAACTTCAGCCTCTGGGTATTGGTGCTTCCTGGGAGCTGTGTTGGGTTCTTGGACATTTGCAGGTTAAACACTGTCCACAGGAGGGCCTTACAGCACGGTTTAATGATGATGCCTAGCTGCTCATGTACTACAGCCTGTGGAAAGATAGAAAAGGCGGAGAATGAAAATGGAGCTTCACAAAACAGCTTTATGCATTTAATGCTGAAAATCTATAGTCCTACCCTTCGGAGTTTTGGAAAAGACTTGACAGGAACATGGGCTTAGTAGGGAGGAGAGGTAATTAGGTCATGCCCCATAGTCTTAATGGAGTTCAGGAGAACTGCCGACAGACTGGTAAAAGTAGAAGAGGAAATGCGTACCTCTGATTTCACTGTGTGCTGCAGATGAACCATTTAGCTGGCCTTCTCTCACCATCCCTGCTAAACACAGAATGCATCAGATATTAGGCTAGAAAAAAACAACTAACAGAGCCAAGAGCACAGGGTATGACTAGAGTGACATTTAGGAATGACACAGATGAGGTAGAAGAGTAAACAGTCTTCAGATTGTCACATTAAACTACAGAATCAGTAAGTCTTATTGTACTCAGAATGCTTGACTTTTTTGTTTTTATTTTATATATATATATATATATATATATATATATATATATTTTTTTTTTTTTTTTTTGTCGGTCGTGGGGCTTGAACTCTGGGCCTGGGCGCTGTCCCTCAGCTCTTCAGTTCAAGGCGAGCGCTCTACCACTTGAGCTACAGCGCCACTTCCGGTTTTCTGGTGGTTTATTGGAGATAGGAGTCTCACAGTCTCTCCTGCCCGGGCTGGCTTTGAACCTTGATCCTCAGATCTCAGCCTCCTGAGTAGCTAGGATTACAGGCGTGAGCCACCAGCGCCCGGCTTTGTTTTTATTTTACTGAGATGCACCTTAAAGTTCCAGGTTGGGCTTGACCTTAATGGTTTTACAGTCTCAGCCTCTCTGGTGGCTGTGACTATAGTCATGAGGCCATTAGCCCAGCAAGATTGCATATAAATAAAACACTTTAATATGTCTGTTGTCACCGGATAGATTTTACCGTGTAGAATAAAAACACAAAACAAAGCAAAAAAAAAACCTCTAGTCAGGGATGGGAATAAGTGAGCAAATTCAATCAAGAAGAGTGAAAAGTAGCATATAACTCCAGAAAATGGATTAGGTTATTGCTGTGATATGGTATCGCTTGCCATTTATAGCTATTTGGCTTTCAATTATTCTGCTCCTCAATTATACTAGCTGCATTTCAAGTGCTCATTAGGAATATGTGGCCTGTGGCTCCTGTGCTGAGCAGTAAAGACTATGAGATACTTGTACAATTGCAAAAAATTCTATCAGCTAACACTGGGACAGACAACTCTGTAGGAAAAAAACTAATCCTAGCTACTTAGAAAGCTGAGATCTGAGGATCACCGTTTGGAGCCAGTCCTGCAGGAACGTCTGAGACACGTATCTCTAGTTAATCACTTAAAAAGCCAGTAGAGTTGTGGCTCAAGGGGTAGAGCACTAGCCCTGAGCAAAAGAGCCCAGGGACAGCGTCCATGTACTGAGTTCGAGCTCCCCTTCAAAAAAAAAAAAAAGTTATGAATCCTTCACTAATGTAGAAAAATCAATGATTTACTACTTCATTAGAAAAGAAACCCCGGCCCATCAGCTGCACTGGACATACAAGAAAAAGAACTAAGCAACCCAAAGACAGCGATGGGAAGGGAGGAATGAGAGGAAAAGAGGGAAAAGCTTACACTAAGCAAAAAGAAAGAAATGTAAACATCACCTAAGGTGGAAAAGATAATTTGTATTGTCAAAGCTCGTAACATTCACAAACCATATAGACCATGATAATGACCATGTTCCTTGTGAAGGTTAAAATGTGTTTGTGACTTCAAGTATCACTATTCCACAATACTGTGAACTATGTGAAATTTATGTAATCACCTAATCCCAATTTTTAAAAAAAGTGAGAAGGGATGGGTTAGGAGCGATGGGTGACAATGTTGTCAGACACCTTGTACTCATACACTGTTTTGTAGAATGGGAACCACTTAAAGATAATTTTAAAAATCCTGGAAAAAAAATAAAAAGAAACCTCAAATCATCCAGGCCAGGTCTGGGGCACTGGCCTGTAATCCCAGCTACTTGGGGAACCGTGGGTAGAAGCAGATCTCAATCCAAAGCTGTCCTCCGGCAAAACAAAAAACACTAACAAAACCCTATCAAAAAAATAACCTAAGTAGGAAAGGGCTTGGGGGATGTGGCTCAAATGAAACAAACAATCCCAACAAGCATAAGGCCCTGAGTTCAAATCCTAATACTGCCAAAAAAATTAAAAATAAACCAACTTTAAACACCTTTTCTCAGTATGTAACTCCAGAGATTTGAAACCATCAAGGATGAAAGATTACAAACACAGCTGCCTTATTTTTTTTTTTCTTCCCCCTCCATTCTTTCTTTTTGGTGTTACTGTGTTTTGAGATCAGAACCACATGCTTGATAGGTAAGTGCTTTACCCTTAACCTTATTGCTTCCTGTTTTTGGTAAGTTTTTTGCCTATGCCAGTCTCAGACCATATTCTAGATAACTGGGATCATAGGTGTCTACCACCTACACTTGACTTACTGGTTGAGGTGAGGTCTCACTAGTTTTGCCTGGGCTATCCTTGAACTAAAATTCATCTCTGCCTCCTAAGTAAGTGGGACTACAGGAGTGAGCCAACACTCCTGGTCTGTGACTGAACCTTCTAACAAGCTCTTTGGTCATAATGAAAATCCTTATCTGAAGAAGTACAGATGCCTTACTGATTTTGAGCAAGGCCACTTTGGTAGGAAGTTTATAGAGCTAATAATCAGATCTGTTCCATTCTATAGCATTCATATTTGTATTAAGATTAAATGCAAGAGAGCAGTTGACAAGAGGGATTTTGTTGTTTTAAATCGTAGCATCTTTCCTGGGCAGAAAATGTCAGAATCGAGATCAAAATATGCAGAGCTTGGAGGTATCTGTCTGGTTTAATGAAGACAGAATATGTAAAGTGTGGCAAACCCCAGAAGGGTCTGGAACCCTGAAGGACAACAGAAGTTTACCTGAGCAAGCTCAGTAATGGTTTTCATAAAAGACTGCCCAAAAGATTCGTCTCACTACAAGTTTCTTAAGTGTGTGCAGGAAGGGCAGACAGTCTGCAGTGTTCAGTTACGTGAGGGCGGTCAGGAGTGCGGTCCCTCCAAAGCACAGCCATGTAGTTGGGGAATTTTTACTAGAAGAGAATCCTACTTAAAGCCATCTTATTCAAAAAAGAAACCTGAGAATTTATTGTCTAAGCTTTAGATGTGAAATAACTTTCAATAGGCCTCCTAAGATGTGATCAGACTGACAATGAAAATATTAAGTTTTTCAATGATATTCTGTGTTCAACAGCAGCAGAATTTCTTTAGAACTGGGCAGGTGAGTCAGAATATCCATTCCCTACAGCTGGGGCTTTGTTCCATTTAAGTTTGTTTTTTGAGCCTCAGTCCTGCAGTGTTGCCCAGGCTGGTCTGGAGCTCCTGCATCAAGCCATGTTCCAAGCCCAGCTTCCTCAGTATGCTGGGTCTCTAGGTGCATGTCACACACAGCTTAGTGTGAGTTTTTTTTGTGTATGTTGGTCTTGTGACTTGAATTCAGGGCCTAGGCGCTAGCCCTGAGCTTTTGTGCTAAAGACTAGCGCTCTAGCACTTGAGCCAGCTCCACTTCTAGATTTTTGGCGATTAACTGGAGATAAGAATCTCACAAGACTTTTCTGCCCAGGCTGGCATTGATCTGCAATAATCAAATCTCAGCCTCTTGAATAGCTAGGATTACACGTGTTGGCCACTGGTGCCTGGCAACTGTGAGTTGTTTTTTTTTTAAAGTGTTCCCCCAATCAGGCTGGTAGGAAAAACGTCTGCATTTTAGGGTTATTTGGAATGTGCAGTGACCATTAGTGATGAAACTTACATCACTCTTGCCCTTCACTGTCAGAAGCTTGAGGTAAATAATCCCTAAGCAGTCTTGAATTCAGGCCCTGGGCGCTGTCCCTGAGCTTCTTTTTTTCAAGGCTAGCATCCTACCACTTGACCCATAGCTCCACTTCTGGCTTTTTTGGTGCTTAATTGGAGGTAAGAGTCTCACAAACTTTCCTGCTGGGCTGGCTTAGAACTGTGATCCTCATATCTCAGCCGCCTCCATAGCTAGGATTACATGTGCGAGCCACTGATGCCTGGCTACACTCCTCATTCGGGAATGGTTTTACACTAAAAGACAGAGGGCTGCTGTTCTCCGACTCCTCAG